GCCATCATTACTAGAAGAGCTGTAGAATGGAGCCTCCCTGGTTTCAGGATGTCTACAGAGGGAATGACACTTTGCCAAAAAGCAGGCAACAAAAATCTGCTCCATTTATCTTATTTTCTTATTTATATAATGCACCGAGTGCAGGATTGGCCTTGACTCACCATCATTGCACACCTCAGGTTTTGCCTGTTGACCTTCTGTATCACTTGACAAATAGGTTGGTTGATTTCTTTTGAATTCTAGATAAATAAAACCCAGTTTAATCTCATTTTAGAAGAAAAAAAACAGCTGAGATGGCATTATGCAGCACATGTCTGGGAGCGGGGGGAACTGATGCCGTGTTTAATGAAGTTCAAACAACGTGTGTTGGTTTTTGTTGGGGGTGGCCAAACAAAGTGGTGGATTCCAGGCTCCCACCAGCAGAAAGAAATTTAAGAAATGAGGTGGCCGAAGCATCTTTGGCCAATCTGATCCACACAAACCAAATGACTTGAAATGAGGAGTGTCCCTTGGGAGGAAGGCAGGCTTGGCTTAAAGCTGTACCAACGTTTCACTGGAGTGCATTGCTTATTTTGATTTGTTTTTTCCTTTGGGAAGAGATTTTAGAGCATCGGCTAGGATGTCTTCTGCCCCAGATTTGTGATCAGTTATGTTCTTTGTAAAGCCACTGGAGATGTTGCTGCCAGCCTCCTGCAGCCCAGCCTTCGAGGGGGGTCTCAGGAAGACCTGCTGGTGGCTTTGACATGGGGCAAGTCCCTGCACCCCTTTGCCACAGGGTGAGTCCCAGCTTTCCCTTGCTGAGGTCTGTAGAGGTGCAGTGGAGGTGGTATCAGGGGCATGACAGGCAGTGAAGCATCGTTAGAGCATCTCTGGAGGAGGGCACTTGATTTGGGCCAACAGCTGAAGTGTGATGTTGGCTCCAGCAGCACACTGAGAGCTGGAGTCTCTCTGGTCCCATCACCCTGCAAGGCTGAAGGAGGTTTTACTTTTCCCATTCACATCAGATGTAATCTTCTGGGTGAGTTTTAATTAAGCTGAGGTTGGGGTTTGTCAAGTCACGTGGATGGAAAGTGTGCCGTGCTCTGGAATGGTTTGGAAGAGGTCAGAGTTTCCTACAACACATCCTGCATATTTAGATTTTCCTTATACCAGCTGACAAAAGACCTAGAGGTTTGGAATTCCCAGGAGAGCGAAACCCTGCTCCCTGGAGGGGAACTGGGGGTCTGACCTCAGGCTTGGGGACAGCAGATGGCTTTGGAGAGCACCCTGTGCCAGGTGGGCTCGCTGCTTGAGGGGAGGGGTTCAGATGGTGTCAGTAAGTGGGAGTCTGAAGCAGGGCTGAAAACACAGCAGAGGAGTCGTCCCGAATCCTCAGTGAGAGCAAACAGCCCAGACTTGTTTTCCAAGCCTCGCTCCTTTTGTTGCATCATGCTAGATATTGGTCAAGAAGGTGGGTTGATAGAAAATTAAGCTTTAAACCAGAGTGTTTTCTTTTCCCCCAGTGCCCCGAGGGCTGGGCAGGGTTGCAGAGGCAGCTGCTGGTGGGGCTGGGGCTGGTTTGCCGGGGCAGGAGCATCGCGTGGGGGTTGCAGCAGCACGTCCCTTCTGGGGGATCAAAGCACGTCCTGGCAGAGAATAAATGTCAGTCTGGAAATGAGCTGTGCTCAGCTGCAGGCAGGGGTGATGCTCAGGTGGGGGAAACCCTGGCAACTACAGAAATTAAATGGTAAAAACCTCCCTGAACTTCTTGGTGTCTGAGCTGCCTGTTGGAGGAGGCAGATGAGCGGCTGTCGCGCGGCCAGCAGCCTCTGGTGGCAACTGGTCCCAGAGGGCCTGTGGCCTTGTCCCCAGGTCCCTGGGACAAGGGAGAAGCCAAGGCTGAGCTGGAGCTGTAGGCTGAGCCTAGGAGAGCGAGCTGGGCTGCTCTGCAAATGCAGGAAGCATGCACTGGGCTGTAGCTCTGTCTGTTCCTGGGACTAAACCAGTGAGGTACCAGCTGGGAGGTGGCCAGTGCTGGTGTTAGCCACTGTGGCAAATCCTGTCATTTTATTGGCAACTGTGATGGATTCCTGTGTGACTCCCACATACCAGCGTGCTTGCTCAGGAGCTGTGTCCTGCTTGGGGTGCTGACCAGTTGGAAAAATAGACCAAAAAGCCCAAACCCTGACGTGGCATGTGTGATTTACAGAGAGTCCCTTCAAGCTGTCCTGTGCACTGAGTGTTTGTGGGAGGGGGAAGCTGAAATTCTCTTCCATATGTTGCAGCTGCATGGTTTTATCCTCATCAGTGAGCTTGTGGGTAGGGTTTGCACAACAACCTTTTGTAAATTTAGTCCCTGGTCCTGATATGGATGTGTGCAAGCTGAAAAGAGCATCCCTTTCCTCTGACCTGTGCTACCAGATCATGCTGAAACACCCACCGGAGCCCAGAATAAAATGGCAAACCAGCTCTGCTGTTAACTGGAGCACGTGTGAATTCCTCAGGCTGGTTTTGTGGTAGCACTGCAGGGGTGTGATCTTCAGAAAGGGCTTTACCCTTCCCCTGCAGCACTCTGGCTCCAAGGAGGGAGTTGTGCCCTGGGCCCAGGCAGCAAAGCCCGTTGGCTGGAGATAGATTTACGCTTTCCCTTTCTCTCTGCTTCTGTTGTCAGCGTTGGATGTTGGGTGTGGTGGGCAGCAGGTGCCTGGAGGCTGCCAGAACCACTCAGCATGGGGAGCTCTCCTCCTTTCCTGCAGAAGCCATGGGCTGCCATCCTGCCCCTCCCAGGAGGGGATATCTGCAGGGGCTGGCACAGCCGTGCCCCTCACACCTCCTGCCCACATCTCCCACACACATCTCCCAAGCACAGACACCACGGTGAAGGGCTTGAAGGACTTCTGCTTGGCCTCTTTGTTTCCCCTTCAGAGGGAGGAGCAGCTGCAGCAGGAGCTCAGGAGGTTTCCCAGGGCTGTGTGCTGCTGGGTGCCCTCTTTGGTCCTGGCCCTGTTGTTCTGCCCCAAGGCTGGTGTTGCTCTGGTTTAAGGTCTGGTGTGCTCTCAGATGGGCACGGGGCAGGTGGGTATCAGCGTGGCTCTGGTGAGCAAGTCATGTCTGTCTGCAGCAGGAAGCCCACGTTGGGCTGGCAGCTGGGCACCCTGAGCCTGCAGCCCACAGAAGGTGTTTCTGGGCTTGTGTGTTTGGCTTTTCCATTCACGAGTTTTCTTCTTCCTGCCAAGCTGAACCCTTCTCACTTTTAAAAGCTGGTAGCCGAGTGGTTCCTTTCACCCTAGCAGTGGCATTTTGGGAAGCATGAGGCCTCTGTGCCCTGAACACTGTCTCCACTCCTCCTCCCTGGTGCCTTGGCAGCTGCTCCATCCGTGCCCGGGCTGCTGGCACAGAGGGTGCCCAGGACTTACTGCTTGCAAGGGGCTCTTGTGCCTAATGAGAAATGGGGCAATTCTGCACTGAGCAGAGTCTCTGGGGATTTTGCATCTGGAACTGGGTTTAATGAGCCCTACAGCCCGTCAGCCTGTGCCAGGGGATGATCCTGGGTGAGGAGATGTCTGGATGCCCCCTCCTGCTGGCAGAGCAGGCTCACTCCCTCTGCTGCTCGCCCTCCCTGGGGACAAGAGAGATTTATATCTGCCTGAAATAAATACAGATCACTCACTTGTCTCTGGAGGAAGATAAAAATGTAAACTGTCTATTTTCTATGATAAAGCACTGGAAATAGTTGGGATTTGAGATAATTATCTTTATTGCTTTTTATAGCACCCTGTGAAGGCTGAAATCAAATTTGTTTTTCACTAACAGGGAGCTCCCGCTGATGACTCAGAAAAATCCCTTTGCTTTATTGACAAACTTGTCAGCTTGGTTATCAGGGCAGAATTCTCCTTGCAGGGAAAGGGAAATAAATACAGGTCATAATGCCACGGTTGGTCTGTAATATAGATCCAAAGTTTGGTAACTCTTGGCAAGAGGAAGAAATGAAGTTGATCTGATCGGCGTGAAGTGACTCTGCCTCATTAAAGATGATGGTAAATTGGATGGGGTGTTGTTTAAGCAACTTCAAGGCACTTGAAGCTTATTAACTGGAGCTTGTGGAGAAGCTGCTTTTCCTGGGCACCTGGTGACCCAGGTTTTGGGAGGAGGGAGGTGGGAGCTGCAGTCGTGCCTCCTCCATCTCATGCCTGGGGCCGTGGGGAGCGGTGCGTTCGTCTCGTCGGGACCTGTTGCTTGCAAGTGGAGTTGCCCCCTTTTGGTTTTTTTAACCTTCTTCTGTGTCTGAAAGGGAGAAGGGCTCCTGGTTTTCAGCAGCCTTTGTGTACCTGAAGATGTTGGGCAGGCTGTGTGTGAAGGAGTCACTCGTGGTGTGGCCTGGGGGGGCTGCTGCTGCTCAGGGCCTGTGGCTCCATGGGGAGCCCGTGTCCATGCTGGTTCCTGCCTTACCTGACCCGCTGTGATACACCCCCAGGAGCTGCTCAGAAGAAGAAACAACATTCTCTGGACAGCCCTTCAGTGTCAGCCACCTCCCAGAACGTCCTTTGCCTCTTTCAGGCAGTGATGTTTGCAGAGAGGTGGTGGGTCTATGGGCTGACGTAGCAGAGGTGCTTCTAAATTGTTCTTCTCTCTCTAACCTCCAAAAGTTTTGGATTTAACAGTGTCACTTGGGATAATTCTACAGATCACTGAGCCTTCTACAGCTCGAGTTGTTTTTTACCAGTTTTTACGAGTTGGCTTTTACCCAACAATGGAGACATAAGAAACAGTCTAGAGGTTAACTGCATTTTTAGGGAGGAGGGAGGGATAGAGCTCTGCAAGGGTTGTCTTTGCCTTGAAGCAGAAGTGTTTTTCAACTAAGCCTCTGTAGCACTCCAGAAACATGCAATAGAGAAAAAGGGTGGAAAAAAACCACTTTCTGTAAACACAGAATGCTAGATCTGAGTGAGCAGAGCAGATTTCTTGTCTGTCTCTGAAGACCTGCTCGGTGTTTGCTCAGCTTTTTCTTGGTTTCCTTTCAGGAATTGACTACAAGACCACTACTATCTTGTTGGATGGCAGAAGGGTCAAGCTGGAGCTCTGGTGAGTGTTTCTGAGCCACTTGGCGAGGACAGGAGCAGTGACAGGGGCCATGGTGCTGCCACTGGGGCGTGGTGCTGAGCTGTGGAGGGTGCAGAGCACGCCCAGGCGTGTGGTGGGGCTCACTGGCTGTGCTTACTACTGAGTTACTCCAGCAAACCAGACCCCTTTCTGGTAGGGGGGGAGCCTACCAGGCTCCTCCACTCTCTGGGCAGCCTGGGCCAGGGGCTCACAACCCTCAGTGTCAAATTTTTTTTCTTTCTCTCTAGTCTAAATCTCCCTCTTTTAGTTTAAACCCATCCTGCCTTGTCCTGTCCCAACAGTCCCTGCTCAAAAGTCCCCCCCCAGGTTTCTGGCAGGCCCCTGGCAGTCCTGGCAGCCCCCAGCAGGTCTCCTCAGCCGGAGCCTTCTCCTCTGGGGCTGCCCCAGCCCAACTCTCTCCTGCTGGGCTCCCAGCAGAGGGGTTCCCCCCTCGGGGCATTGCTGGGGCTCCTCTGGCCCCGCTCCAGCCGGTTCCTGGCTCTGCTGTGCTGAGGACTCCAGAGCTGCAGCCAGGCTCTGTCACACCTGCCCCTCTTCCCATGCAGCTCTCAGGCCCTGAGGGAGCAGTGCTGTTCTGGAAGCCATACTGGATTTTCCTAAAATCCTTGGGTGAGAAACATGGGCAGGAGATTAAGAAAGGTCGAGAAAAAAGATGGTTGAGGTCCTTCCTTATGGCCACAGCAGCTGGATGTTTCTCAGTTACTTGAGTAGAAGATTAAAACAGGGCACTCAATAGACCTCATGGTTAGTGACAGGGTGTGGTAAACCCCTGGAGAGCAGGACTTACTGGAGTGGCCTGACACTGGGATGGAGATGGGAGAACACTGCATGGGAGGGGTGACCCCTGACTTATCTGTCAGCACCAGAAGGAGATCTGGAGATCTGTGATTTAATTGTACCCCTGCTCTGAAGCTCAGTGCCCTCATTTTTCTCTTACAAAAGAACAGAAGCAGCTAGTTTATCTCTTCTGGTTGGTATCTTCATATGTGCTGCTTCCATTCTTTTGTCTCTGTTGTGATGTTTCAGCCCCAAGTGTGTAGTCACTGCTTCTCTTGTAGTCCTCTTCTTCTTGCCCTGTAATGCTTGAGCTGGAGAACTAGCACAGGACTTTCCCTGAAAAGCTGGTGGCATTGGTCTATGATGCCTTAGTGTAATGTTGTACCATTTCTTTCCTCATACAACCCAACATTTGACTGTTGAGGGAGAAGGAGATATAAGCACAGAGTGTTAGACTGACATCCAGGAGCAACAATACAGTCCTTGAAAGCTTTAGGTCTGGCAGAACTGAACTGAACTTCACTGTCCTGAACTTCAGGTCACTGGAGCTGGTGCAGGTCTGTGGCTGAGGGTTTCATGGAGCTTCTCAGTGGTCATTCATGTGCCTTTGATCCTGGCCCAGTGAATAAATGTGACAACCTTCATAATATGTCTTTTATTGCCCAGATGCTTTTCAGTCTATTCTGGTTAAATCGGTGTGCTGGGCTCTCAGCTACTGCCCCAGATGTGCCCAGAGGCACTGGGAGGTGCTGGTAATGTAGTGAAACTTATTTATACTCTGTCAAGAGTTGCAGTTGGGACAAATGACAGTGACTGAGCAGCCCCTTGTTGTCACAGCAGGCTGGAAACACTGTTCCCTAGTCCTGTTCCTGTGCTCTCTGCAGGGAATGATCAGCCAGGTTGGTTGGAGGTCTGGGTATAAAGATAGTTCTGTTCATTTTTGGTTAAAATGTGTTTGGAAGAAATAAGTGACACTAAACAGTACAAGAGACTCCTAACCTGAGTGGTTCTGTTCATTTTATGATAGGTCATCTCTTCCCCACGACTAGGGGAGTCTGCAGTCTCACTTCAGCTTTGAACTCTCATGGACTGTAGGGAACAAGGAGAAAATCCTTTGCCCAAGGGAGTAAAATGACTTAGCATCCTCCTGCATCACAAGGTGGTGCTGAAGCTGAGTGGTTTTGGCTTGTACCTTCTCTGTGGGAAGCACAGTGACAGCGAGGAGCTCTGGAGAGTGTCTGACTGACCAAAGGTGGTGATGCAGCCACCAGTTCTTCCCAAAACCCACCGTGCAGAGCAGTTTGGGAACTATGCAAGTTCTAAAGATCTGACAAGATCAACACAGATCTGGGGTTTTTTGTAGGTCCAATAGGAGATGTGCAGAACAGGATTCAATCCTCCAAATTCCAGAGCTGTCACTTTTCTTTGTTGCAGGGACACGTCGGGGCAAGGAAGATTTTGCACCATTTTCAGATCCTACTCCAGAGGAGCCCAGGTAAGTGCTGCTCTCAGTGCTGATGGGGCACACTTGCTTTTCCTTCAGGCTGTGGAAGTCTTCCACGGAGTAGTAAAGAGCTCTGAAGAGGCTGCATCAGGCATCAAAAGGACAGGATCTGTGTAGGTGCCAGGAGGCACCACGTGTTCTCTTGCTGCCTGCTATCCTGGTTTTATGAAGTACTGGCAGAGAGGGGAGTCGATGACAGACTTTCCTAGACTGCTACAGAAAAAAACAGGTCTGCTACAGACTGCAGTCAGTGTTAGGACTGAGAAGATGAGGTTGTAGAGGACTAAGGCAATCCCAGCTCTGGATCTGCCTTAGCTTTAATGTGGGAGCTTGTACTTTCTGAGGTTTATCACATTTGTTTAATTGTGACACCGGCTTTCCCAGCAGAGTTCTTCCAGTCTGTGTTGCCTTCAAGTCAGTTCCAAAAATAGGCTGACTCCTACTTGGGTGTTTGATGCAGACTTGAAACTAGAGCAGCTCAATTGGATTGTAAAAGTGTGTTGCTTCAACATGAGGCTGAGCGTTATATTTTGAGTTTCTCCTTTGGGCCCTGCTCCAGAATAACATCTAGATTCTGAACAGCAGGAAGATCTTGTGGTCCTCTGAAAAACTGCTGGTAGTTAATAGAGACTTCTTACTGTTTTATTGTTGTCCTTTCAGTAACATGAGAGGGTCCCTCCAGGAAAAAATCTCCCTGAGCTCAATGAACTACAGAAATTTTCCCTTTTGTTTCCAAATTGGAAAACTTTGGAGAAAATTCTTCCTCTCTCAGACACTAAGTGTTGGAACTTATCTATCAACCTCCTGACTGTGCCAGTGTCCTGGCAGCTTCCCAGCTTTTGGGAAACTTTGCCACTCCTGGTCTTGGCTTTTTGCTCCTTGTAGCTGTAGACCTTTGCTTTGCTAACTGCCAAAATCCACCGTGCCCTTTCCCTAAGACTTCCTGCAGAGTCCCTTGTGCTGCAGAGGTGAGAGCCCTTCAGCTGGGCTGTGCTGCTGGGACCTCCTCGGGTTGGTTCTTGTTGGTGCCCAGCCTGGGGGCTGGGGCTGCTCTCAGGCAGCTCCTTTGAAGTGGAGGCCAATTCCCTGGTGCTTGGCAAGGCGAGGAGTGTCAGAGCTTGCCTGGGGCAGTGGGAGAGTGTGGGATCTCCTGTTCACAGGCTCAGGCCCACCTGGGAGTTTATCTTTAAGCCTCTCTCTGCCCATTCTGCACCTACAGCTCCAATCCTGGCATAATCCGTGGGCTCAAGACCACATCACTTCCCTTAGCAGTTACACACGCAGAGGCACTCACTGTGGTTTTCTGATGACCGCCTAACTGAGCTTTGATCATTCTTTCCCTGAGCCCTTGCTGTGTCAGACATCCAGGTCAAACTGGGACTAGAAAGCAACAGGTTTCCCAGCTCCTAGAAACATCGTTCGAGAGCATTCAGCCCTGTCTGCAGCATGACCTGCTTCTCCAAACTGCTGTACAGGAGACTTCTCCCCTAGGTGTAGACTGTGAGCTCCTCAGAGCAAGTGCTGTCTCCCTGCAGGGCTGCACCCACATGCCAGAACTTGTAGCTGCAGCTGCCAGTTCCACCTGAACAGAAGGAGAAACTTCTCTGCTGTGAGGGGGGCAGAGCCTGGAGCAGGCTGCCCAGAGTTTGGAGAGATTCCAAACCCACCTGTCTGTGATCCTGGGCACCCTGCTGTGGGTGAGCTGCTGGAGCAGGGGGGTTGGATGAGGTGATCTCCAGAGGTCCCACCCCCCAGTGCTGGGATTCTGGGATTCTGTAAGGTGTAGGAACTGCAGTGGAGCTGGGAGGCAGTTGCATGGGGCCTCTGTGGGGTCCCTGCAGCCTGGCTTCCCTGGACACTACACCTGACACTGCATGCCATGAGGTGTTGTGTCTCTGGCTGACCTTCAAGCTTGAACTAGATTGTTTTTATCTTCCTTCCTCCAAATGAAGTTCCTGACCCTCTTTGCTTTGCAGGCAATGTCTTGCCCTTCTGCTGTATTTATCACTGTTGCTTTAGGAGCTCTCACCTGAACATTTGCCAGGCTCACTTTGTCTATCTCATCTACTTACTCCTCCCAAGGAATCATCTCTCTGTGAGACCTTTGGAAGAAACCTCATCAGCCAGGCAGAAGGAGCTTTCATGTGGATGCTTTATTGCTGGAGGCTGGGGTATGGAGCTCACTTGCCCAGCAAGGTGTAGGGTGGAGCTTGTGCCTGCCCTCAAAGCCTCTGTTCTGCTTGTGCAACAAACAGCTTTTCCAAAGTGCTGTTGTGATGCCTTAGTCCTGATCTGCCTAAATAGTCAACCCTTACCCTTGAAACCATCAAAACAGCCCTAAAGAGCACCCCTGCCCTGGAGGAAGAGGGGTAGTTCCCCAGGGAGGTATCTCCAGTGCCCTCGGAAGGTGTCTGTGAGGTGAGCACAGTGGGTGCCTCTTGAAGGCTCATGACCAGAGTCCTGGTACAGTCTTCTCCAGGTGGCTTGGAGTAAAACTGAGATTGGGTTCAACATGGAGGGATTGGCTCCCATGTGGTGATAAAACAGTGTTCCTGTTTAGGAGGAACACAAATATTGTCTCCCTTAAATAACTCACCACATCTTTCAAGGGGAGAGGGAAGTAGCTTAATTTAAACTCTACATGGTTAAGCAGAGCAAAAGGAGGGTTTGTTTGGAATAACAAATGCCTGTGTGACTGCAAGAGTGGGCTCAACACCTCCAGCTATTTTCAGTCTGCAGAAGCTAACTTCTGGCACAGCATGAGCATAGAGACAACTCAACCCAGTGTGGTCTTGGGGGAAAAGAACTAAAACGCTCCCGACTTGTCTTATTTCTTCAAGATGTGGTCAGTGCTGCCTGCTGTCCTGACTGCCTCCCTTCAGCTGCCTGCTCTCCACTCTGCTGGCCTCAGGCTTCATGACTTCTGCTGCTGCAAATCCAGTTGGAAGCAAGAGAAATGACTTTTTTTAACCTAGCCAGCCAAAAGCCTGGGAAGAACAAATACGGTGGAGAAGGGAGGTGCCGGGGTGGGAGAAGCTCTGTTTGAAGTGCAGTGTGGTGTTTGTACAAGAACACCCCACGAGGCTGAGTGTGCACTGGCCTTCACACGAGCACCTTCACACTGAAAAGGAGCAGAAGGTTCTCACCGAGCAGAGGGCTGAGGCTCTGAACTGAGCTTCCCGTAAGGAGCACGAGGGGAAGGAGTTTCCAGAGAGGACTTGGGCAGGTGAGCTGGGAGAGCAGGAGGCTGGCAGCTGTACAGGAGTGGCTGAGAACAGGGCGAGTCTGTCTCAACAGCCAGGGCTGAAGAGAACCTTTGGTATGAAAAGGGCCTTCAAGCAAGGGACACACAGCTGACCCCCCTCCACACACCTTGTTGTTTCTAAAGTGTAGTGATAGGAATCAAAGCTTCTGAAGTAAACCCTGGAGAGGCTGCAAAGTAGAAAAACAGTCTCCAAATAGGGAGCAGACCTTCTTGGGAGTTTTCCTTTTCCCCCCAGCACAGGCTCATGCTTTCAGAGTCTGGACTGCAGACCAGTCCCTCCCCAGTGGAAGGATGTTTCCTGAGCACCCTGATGCCTTCCCCAGTGTAGACTCCACACCACTTGCCTGGGTGCACAACCATGTGGCTTTCAGGTTCAAGAGGAACTTCTTCCTCTTCAAAACATCTAAAGTAAAACAGCTTCACTGTCCTTGCTGAGTTGTCCTCAGACAAGGACCAGTCCCTTCTTTCAGTCCAGGCAAACCAGACGTGTTTGCCTCAGGATTTCAGCAGCTGCCGTGAGCTCCTTGGCTCAAGGTGGAGGTTCATGGCATACTGGTGGGCCTGGGACCCCCCTTCTCTTTTCTTCTTGCTTCCCTGGGGTTTGAGTTTCCCCTGTCCTATCACAGCTGCTTCCCTCATCCCACCCCTTCCCTCTTAGGGTCTGTTGGGCCAGCAGGTCCTGACCGCATCATTTCAGAGTCTCACTTTGGGGCAGAAGAAGAGCAATTGTGTCTTGGGTAGTAGAGAACTGATTTCTAGGCACTGGTGGGGCATGGAGAATGTGCAGGCCACATCTTGGTAGCTGCAGGGCTGGGGGAGAGTAAAGATGGAAACCCAGTAGTGTTGTGACGTGCAGAAGAAGCTGAGTCTGGAGCTTGCTGTATTGCAGGAGGATTTTTGTACTGTTGCAGCATGGCCTGTGGTGAAGGGCATTTAGTGCTGCTTAAAGGTGCTTCAGAAATCTCTTGTTTCACTCTTAACTTCTGCTCTTTGGCTTTTTCTGCTTGGTTGTAAGGTCTCAGTCATACCAAAGCAGAGCTGGCACGCTGATCTCAGGCTCCTCTGGCTGCTGTGAGCCAATCCAGCCTCTTCCAGGAGACATCACGGAGGGGAGAAAAAGGGTTGTGGTGGTGCTTTCTGATCTAGCAAGGAAGGGGCAGTGCCAGTATCATTCCTGATGTCTTCATGTTCCAGTGATTTAAGCCATTTCTGGGAGAGCAGCTTGCCAGCTCTTCCCAGACAGCCTGACACGGAAGGTCCTTCGTGAAGAGTGTCAGACCATCTACAGGAAGCCACCATCAACGCTGACAAATGCTCCCACCTTGGAGCAGAGCTGCAGCCCTAGCAGAATAATGTTGTTGTTGGGTTCTGCATGGGCAGAAGGTACTGTTTATCCTGGTCAGGGCTTCTTAGTCTGCAGGGAGCTGGTGGCTTTTTTGGGCAGCTCAGCAGACTCCGAGATGTAGGCTCTGCTCTACCGTGTGGCTTTCTTTGTTGCTGCACATACTTGCCTCAGGTTGTTTTGATGGTATTGTCCAGCTGCTGGAGGAGCCCATCCTGCCTCCCAAGATGTTTATCAAAAGCTCAGTGAAAAATAACACACACACACACACACACACAGTGTGTTATGCTGTTGGGAAATGGTTTGGCAGCAGGATGTAGTTGCCCATGAGCCAAGGGCCAAAGTGCCAGCTGGAAAGCTGTGACCACACGTAGCCCTGACAGA